CCCCCCGTGTTCCCAGTCGCTGTGTGTTCCTTTGTTACCACCGTCGATAACTTTCGATGGCCGACTCGTGCCGTGACCGTTTCGCCATAATTTTCACCCCGGCATTGTGCCCTGGCTCGCAAGAGACCACATTGTTCTCCTCTTTGCTCCAGCGGCGTCGCGTTTCGTTTTTTGCACGATTTTGTTGAAAATTTATTCGCCAGTTCGAAAGTTGTTCGTTGTACTTTGGCTATATATGTCGTAACGATGCGACGTATCGTTGATTTATGGAACGAACGTAATTCCCGGCAAGGAAGAACGTCGTTGCAGTTGAACCAGGGGTGGTTTCAGTTTGGTAGATAAATGGCGGAAGAAATAAGCGCCCCCGGAGCTTTAATCATCGACCGATTTTACCGTCGTCGAGGGTTTTCATATTGACATCAACGAGAAAGCGTCCGTAGAGTTCGAAGCTCTCAGCTCAATTCACAGTTCGTTGCTTTAACACGCGTTCGACATCGTGGGCAATTTTTTGGCGAGGATCGAACGTTATAAATTGTCCCGGGCGATTAATCGCCAGGGCGTTTCGTCGGATCGATCGCGTTCAAAGTGGTGTTAATTACCAGTGGTGGGGGCATGCGATCTTTATTTCATGCTCGACGCGTCGAGTCACGCGCCGATTTGCGAATCATTCGCGCGGGATTGAAATTACAATTGCCGTTGTAATTCAATTTTCGCCGAGCGGCGACGAACGAGCGAAAGCGTGGCCGGGCCACGTGGGGCCGCGCTATTATTTGACCGGAAGCTCAAGGCCAACCGGAAATGAAAAATTAACAGCAGGCAGGCAGGCAGGCAGGCAGGCCGGTTGCTAATGACGATTCCACAGATCATTCTCGAGACAAGGAGAATTACTTTTTCACAGCGCGGCGGATCGATTGGTTTGTCGGACAAATGGCTACAAGTTTTACACGGTAATTTTTACTTGTCCGCTTGTTCGTTCGAACGAGGCAATTTTATAAGACAAACAAAACCCACGGCTCACACACGTGTATACGTGGCCGTAGAAAATTTTCGCTTCCCGGTGGAAACCCGTCGGCCAACGGGTTCCCCTTGGCTAACGCGAAATAACATCGGGAACCGTGCAACTATTTGTCCTGGGGACGTCAGAGTTGATACAAGCGTGCTCAAATTTGCCTAAATTTTATTGGGACAGCGGGCTCCCTGGCAAATTAATTAATCCACGAGTCACGGCGGGGCGTCGTAGCCTGTCCAGGATTTAATCGTTCCCCGAAGCGATCGCAATCCTTGTGAAGAAAGCTCTTGATACACTTTCGAGAGTGGCGAACCTTCGAGAGGGATCCTCCGCGGGTTCGATTTATATCCGATAGTTTCGTGAAATTTTAAACGTCAGTTCGACGTCATTTGAACGTATCGTCTCCAGGGTAGGTACATATGTATGTCTGGAATAGATGTAATTAAGCCGATACCGATTTAATAGATGCCGATATTTCGATGCATTTGCGATTCTTTTGCCAAGTTGAGCACGCTGCACCGCAGTGAGTAGTTTCCGACAAGGAAGTAACAGAATGTGTCAAGTTTCCCTGATCCTGTTTCTCGATGAAGAATCTCCAGGAATTGAATACATTCGAAGTGGTGCATGTTTCATTTATACTAAATCTATACGACCTTTCATGTCGTGGTCGGCACGAAGAATTCTGATATTCCATTTCCCATATCGTAAGACGCGTAAGTTGTAACAACTTGTGCCGGAATTTTCTTTTTTTCTTTTTTCAACTTTGAAATTACGCTCTGGTCCATTGGTTGGGCAGTAGAAACATAATTTTGAAATGACGCTCATTCGCCCTGTCCAATTCGCAGAATACACCACCCTACTTAAGCGTCCCGAGTGTGGACGACGAGATTAAAGCATAAAATTTCCACCAGACACGTTAAAGTCAAAGAAATAGGGAAACTTTAAAGTAAAGTAAATGAATCGTACAAGCTCACGTTTACATATTTGGCGAAAAATTGTTTGAAATTCTTTTGAAAATACACTCTGGCTACGTCTACAAAATGTCTAACGAAAATTATAAATTGATCACTCTGACCAGTTCGGTAGTTCTAGCGTTAAGTGGGCTTAATCCACTACCTGGATGAAAATATGAAAAAGTAAATTTCAACGACGATGAAGAAGCGAGCCTGTCGCAGCCGGGGGGAAGGATCGTTCTACCACGTTCTGCGACGAGACGATTTTTGCCGGGCTCGACTTTAATCGTAAATCGCTGGAAGTCCCTCGGCGCGGACAATCAAGGTCGCTCCCCCCCTCCCTCACATCAGAAACACTCGGTACTTCTCGCGAGTGTATTTCAACGAGTCGTCTCGCGATGACGTATCTGCTCAGTAGTTACCCTCGACGCATCACACTCACCGTGCAAGGTGTGTCGTTAACAGGCACGAAGACGCACTGGTTCCCCTAATAATCCTCGAAAGGGGGAGAGAAGCCCTTTGTCCACGGCGAAGCGAGACGACGCGTGACTTGGTCGAATCGCGCGAGAGAAGCCCTTTGTCGTCTGCAGCAGAAATTACCCCGAATTAATGCCGCCGGGCTTTCCCCGGCATCTTCTTCGTCCTTTTACCCTTTACGAAGGGCCTCGCCTCTCCAAGCGTGCCCAGTTTTCCAGGCCGTGCGTTATCTGCCGGTGACGAGGATTCCTCCTTCGTGAAAACAAGGGAGGAAACTTCCGCTCCAATCCTCGATGACGCGCGATACGTGGGCCGTTTGCAAGATGGCGGCGGAGGGTCGGCAGGCTAATGGAATTCTCGTTGGCAAGCGAAGGAGCCGTGGATCAAGCGATGGATGCTGTAAAGTAAATAAGGGGAGGGCAATTTTTCACGGTTGTTGCCACCGAGTTCTGGCGGATTATTCAACAGCGGAGCCCGGGTGAAGCTGAACTTTCGAGATAAGTCTGAAAGGAGAAGTCCGCGGCGCGCGATATCGGGGTCACGGAGGAAGCGGACGACTCGGAACGAGTTGCGAAAAAAGCCGACCGGGAAGCAATGGCCGACACACACACCGAACCACACCGCTCTGGTCCCCTGGTGACTCAGCGAAAGGAACAATCCACTCGCAAACTGATAATCAAAGAATCGAATGCAGACGTTCGCACGGTGGGAGAAAAATAACTCTCTATTAGTTAATACAGGATTTTTTTCATAACTGTGAAAAAGAAATTATGTCACGTAAAATCAACGAATACCAATCTGTAAATACAGGTTAGGTTTAGGTTTAGGTTAACGATGAATTCGGTAGTTTCAACGATTTCGTTACAACGAATACGTTTTGCAATTTTGAAATATGAATGCTAAAGTATGAAATTCCATGAACATAGTTAAACATAGTTGTACGTGGCATTTCGGACGTATTTATTTTTGTGGTCCTGTATTTTCCTCATCTGATGATGATTTACTATTAAATTCATGTCGATAATTATTATTTATGCGTCGTCGAGTAAATACTATTGAATGATCTTGGTACAGCTAATGCTTCTTATTCTTATTGCTCTTTTATTTTTTTGTGATTTTGTACTCACATTTCAGATACCTCTGATACATAAAATTAGAAAGCAAATGCTAACAACCCTACTTGAAAGTTACAAAGATTTGGGGCAACCATAATTAATGTCGTTTTTTATTTTATTTTTAAAATTTTTATTTCATTTAAGAGTTAATGCGGTTTTAATCTGTAATATAATTTAACAATAAGCACGCCGAGTGTGTCATTTATTACATTTGACTAGAATATAGATTATGTTATGATAAGTTAAATTATTGGCAATGTTTGTTAAATTTGAAGAAAACAACATTACTTATGGTTCTCTAATATATCTCTTTTACTTATGGTATCTCTAATATATCGTATAAAAATAGTATATTGAAATACAAACAAATGAGATATTATTGATATACAAATCAAGAGCTATTTCACACGTTTCTTCTTGTTTAACAAACATCGATAGAAGAGAAAATAATGACAGTTGCACGAGATGGATCCTTTAGCTTTTATTTGCAGACAACTTGCAAAACCATTTACTTTGATGTCTCAAATTAGTTGGTTATTAAGAAGACATTATAGAACACTTCCACCTTGTGGAGAGAAATTAAATTATTTAACAAAATATATCAGAGAGAAATGGCAGAGCGATTTTTGCGGACGAAATTTTGAAGGTCCACGAATCAAAGATTCTCCACTAAGCTTCGTTACTTGTAATCTACCGCATTCCAGCGCGAGATTAATAACCAAGAGTAATGCGATTAAAGGGCATGATTATCGAGCGTGTGCTGGCGTGGCCTTCGACGATAATCGAGCGAATCCGATCCGAAAGGGACCGATTGGAGTTTAATTGTCTTCGGCAATGAAGATGTCCCGCGACACTCGTTAAAATCGTACGCGGGACTGAACGGGTCGACGCCAAGCCTCGAAGCTTGCAAGCGTTATTCGCGCGCGTCGAATTAAAACAGGTCTTTGTAGAAATGCCCCGTCGTTAATAGAAACGTTCCGTGAATGCAGTTCGTTATCTCCGTAATTGCGCGGACCGAAAGTTGCGCCGATTGCGTCGTTCGCCACGATGCATTTTTGTTCGATCGCGAAACGATCGCGTGCCGTGTCTTGCCTCCTGCTGCCGAGAAAAGTAGTCCACGATCGAACAAAACAGTCATCAATCCGCCTCGTAGACCCGACCGTGCTCCAGTTAACCGACGGAACAACGTTCCCCGTTCGCCAATTCTCGTTTCTTTTTTATCGTTTCGTCGTCTTTCCTCGAGCAGATCTGGATGAGGAAGACACATGCACGGTCTAACGCTTGTAACTCACGCCGAGTTATCTTGCTGTTTAATTATTTGCTTCAGGTTTCTGGCTTCTTCGTTCACTCTGCGGCTCTCCACATGCATGTGGTCGTTCAGAGAAAATGGCAACATTCGAATATCTAACGATAGTTTGTCGTTTTTTCTTTTCTTTTTTTTTCGAGAATGATAAACGGGAGAAAAAATGAATTGAGTGGTGGATCAGTTTTGTACCTGATTCGTGGTCCGTTGTGTGCCGATCGATCGAAGGTAGTGCCAGGAAGAAAAGAAAGAAGGAAAATAAAAGACTGGAGGGCAAGCTGGCGAGTAAGAAAGGGGGAAATCGACGGGGAGGAATGCGCGT